CTGCGTGTATTTCCAGGCTATGCTATATACATCTGTGCCAAATTTCAGCCAATTTTCTGGTAATACCTTCTAACCAACATCCATACATACATCTAAAGATAAGTTTCATTTCGAAAATTACTACACTGATATTTGCAAATATTGCACTTTTATTTTGTAGGTAAAAATAAGGTTTAGTTTTCTACGTAAGGGTGTTATTTCTTTACAATCTAATAAATGAAACTTAACTAACATTAAGAGCGAGATCTGACGTCAGATAGTAATAGAGTTGTTCGAAGTGATTGCTATTGAAATGTAAATAATGACCTTCCACCTTACGTTACCACTTAACGAAATTGTGTCGAAAGCGTTCGTAACGCAGACAAAAACACGTCCCCTCGAATAAGTCTCGACTGGGCAAGTGGCCAACGTGATCCTAAGTAAGCTATAACTTACAAATGTATTATTACATTTTCTTTTTTCGTAATTCAACCGACGCTTCATCACATTTCTTTGTAATAGAAATTGCAAAATTGTTGTAAAAATAGAAAGTTTCATATTTTTTATGATACGTATATTGAAGAATATTTTTTCTTACAAAGACCTTTGAAAAACAAAAGAAAGCTAGCATAAAGAGTATACTTGCGAGCATTTATGCGTTAATACAATCCGAATGTCGAATGTCTTGTACTAGGAATGTATCAACTCAACATAGTTTAAAAATATTATTAGAGATCAGTGAAATTAAATTAATACGAGATTATGTTGATAGGAAAAGGACCTGTCTGATCAATTTCAATGTAGCGATGTCTCTAAATAGCTGACGTCTACGATGACGAGGAAATTTGGTTTCGTTTACAACAAACTCTACAAATACTTGACTTACTAGCATTTACTAGTTTATCTATCTTCTGTGAATCTGATATTCAATATTGCTAATGACGACTAAAATTTTATAGTCACTAAATCATTAAAGTCCATTAAATTGGGGACATGTGACTGAATTTATGATGACGATGATGAAGATGATAAAATGATCATTAAATAATAGAAATATGAATTGTATAATTCCACCATACCGTAGCTTATTGGTATAAATGATAATAAACGAGCAATGATTATAATGTATCATTAGTGCATGGATATTACCAGCTCGGATATAACATTTTGTAAAACATTAGGCCTGTGGAACAATATCGATAATTTGCCAGCAATTGGTCCGCTGCCAGTAGTTATTAGCCGGCGTATCGGCTCTGTAATTACGCTCCGAAGCCCAATTGATCTTATTGTTCCCGCTCGCTCCACGCCGCTGTGTAGTTACTATAATTGAAACATTTGAAATGGATATGACTCTCTAAGAATTTTAGCTTTATTCTAGCTCAATCTATTGTTCTTTCTAGGTTTTGTTGCTGGATATTAATGCTAGAGTTTTTGTCAGGAAATTTTTGTAATTTAGAGTGTAAATAAAAAGTTAACTTTTAATCATATAAAAACTATTCTATAATATAATAAAAGGACGAAACAGATCTTACAGATTTAAAGAAATCGTTATAATATTGTTTGTTTAATTCCTGAAATAATAATGGATATTTATTGTTTCTTAAAACAATTAGTATATTAGTTTCGAAACTACGACGAATAGTTTTTTCTTCGTAACCAATAGAATCGATCTAATTCGACCTGAACGTCGCACATCTAATTGCAAATAACTCCTCAACAATGTTGGCGACGAAAACTTTACGCGTTGTCGAGTTGAATGACAAAGTTTCCTAACTCGTGGAACTATAATCGTAACATTGACGGTCCTGTTCACACGCCACAGTTATCAATAATGTCGCAGCAAGACAGCGAAGCTCTCACATACGTATGGGATGGGTAAGGGAGAAACGGGTGGATTTTTATCCATTCGTATAAGAAAATGTACCACGAAAGCCGACGCAACGAAGTCACAAGGGATTCCGCAGGCACATCAATTATGTATTTACGTATTTTCAATCTTATCTGATGCGGATTAAGTATCATTTTCAATAACTCAATTACGAATAATATATATGATGATTCAGATTAGTAAAATCATGTAGAACAAAGAGCCAGTAAATCTTAAGATCTAACCAAAGTAACAGAAGCAAAAAATTATATTCGTATTGCGTTGAATGCAAATATTATAACAATTTTCCCAAACATTAATTTATTTATTAAAACGAAGTAATGAAAGAATTACACCTCAATAAATGCAATTATTTTATTTTTAAATAAGCGGTCTATTTAAACATCAACGTCAATCAGTTGTTTATTGAGTATTCACTAAGGTATCATAAATTTAAAGCAATGCGCCTAGTGGTTTCAGTAGTTTGCCCACGGACCCCTAATAAGATTACGAGACCGTCCCAGAGGCGTTCCAGACCTATTGGTTTTTGCAGAAAAGCCCCCCCGTGTAATCCGATTTCAGTTGCTTACGTGTTTGTTTTCATATTCTCTAGCAAACTTATAAGTTTTGGGCTCTTGTCTCGCTTTGTGAATAGTTCTATTTTATTTAGCCGTCGCCACTTTGTACATAGAGGTAGCGGCGCATAGTAACTTATTTAAATTCATATTGTTAGACGAAATTTTGTATTTCAGATAAAGAGATGTAGATGCGAAATTCCTTGTCAGTCTTCTGTGGTCTTCGGCTGCAATACGGCCTTGGTAACCTACCGTTAGTTAGATATAATGTAGTAGGTGTAATGGTGAGTTAGGTTAAGGCTATCGATCGGATTAATTTAAACAATAGAGCCTTATTCTATATAACTATGTATAGATTGAATTGTTATATCATTGAACGGTACATTACACTTAGGTTAAGCTCTATCGAGCGATATTATAACATAATTACAATCGCGTTTCCATTGTTTTGTGAGGAACAATGAACGTAAATCGGCTTTAGATATGCTGCATGACGTCTTAGTATTATATTTCAATGTTACATTTGAATATTGTATTAATACGAGTAATAATAATTCACAGTAATAAATCAATCAATATACATATAAGGAATATTACCAAACCGAAGTATTCGGGTGTCGGAGATATTATGTAAGAAGCCATAACATAAATTAATTACGAAACCAATTTAGTGAGAGTGTCAAAGTTGTGTTTTAGGGATTTTAGATGAGGCTTTTAAGATAATTAAGACGGAAAGAGCTAAAATTTGTATTACGCGAAGGTGTATTTGAAAATCACACTTGATTTTAGATGATTTTAGATTACTATTTTACTTACTCGCTCTTAAAAATAATATTTCTGACCATGTATTACAGTGAATTGATTTTGTAGACCACTTTTAATTCTAAAGGTTGTGATCCATCATTCCAAACCTTTTCTCCTAAAAGATACTACATTTATAAATGTATTTTTTCTTAACCCCCTATCATTCAACACAACTTAGACAGAAGTTTTTAATGTTCTTAAAAACCTTGCTTCGCATTTATACTGCAATATTTGTAGTCACTTTTAGTAACTATCAACTCTGTGTATCCTATTAATTTGTTGCCATTGATGACGATAACATAAAATGCTCTAGAGTAGAATTAACAGATTTATTTCCCCCACCAGTACGAGCATATCCCGCAAAAGTGCGAACTGTACGAGATAAGAGTGAATCTTTGTGGGCGAGCGGCAAGCAGTGGCGTTATCGTAATTTATTAGCGCCCACAGGTGCGGCTATCTACCGCCCTCGCTGCCACATACATGTGACACAGTGTCGCATATCCTAACATAGCTATACTACCTAATAGTCGCTACTTTCCTCGTCGAAAATATTTGTAACTAAACATCGAGTACCATAATTGAGGAAGATCTATGTTTAATCTATTTGAAACTCGCACGGCTGTTAAATAATCACTAAGGAGGACATTAAATGTAGATTTGGTATAAGGAATCTTCACTAAAAAAACTAATTAAGTTGTGTACCCTGAGTCAGTACATACAGCTTAGAAAGTTTGTTTATTGAAATGTAAAAGGAAAAAGTCTAACTGATTTACTAGTTATATTATTTTTTTTTCTTTTGAATAAAAATAAGCTTATTATAATAGCATAATAATATATATAATGTGGTATTTCAGTATTTGTAAGTGGCCGTTATCCTGTTTGATATATTCGTTGTCCGCACACGGAGTGATAAATAGACTAGCTACGAGGAATATTTATGTGTGACTTTAAGACGGGAAAGAATAGGGTACACACACCTATACGAATATATATTTAAATTTAAGTAAGAGGTCAAATTAAAGTAAAATAGTTAAGTCTATGTTTAGTGACTGCAATGTAGCATTGAAATGGTAAAATACATTTTAAATTTGGGCCTAGTATATTTTTAAATTTTATATTTACAAGTAAGTACATCAGAACTGATATATAAACACGGCTAAACACTCACATATATTCGTCCGGTGCCGCGTCCGCGAAATAATACCAGTACCACTCATCCTGATGAATGAACGGCCCCCGATGGGCTCGAAACTAATCGGTGCCGCCACCGGACAATTATACGTGAGTGTTTAGTCGTGTTTATATATCAGTTTAGTATAATGTCTCACGAAAGTTTGAATAATATAAGTACATCAGGGCGATAGTAGTAGACTTATTCACAATAAAGTCTTGTTACCACTAAAAGTAAGCCTAATTTTTAAGTCTAAGTGTCATAGTACATTAGACTTAATCTAAGGTTGACTAATTGATGACGAAGCTATAGGTTATCTTACTAGGTTGGGAAAATTCAACGGAAATCGTTTGGAAGAATGAACATGACTCGACCAACTTCCAGCATGTTATATTCTCGTTAATACTGGTCCCTTCATGTGTACAGATTATACGTGCTGATATGAAATATGAAAGATCTTTACCAAATGCTACAGAAAAATCGCAGAGAATACCACGGGACGGGGTAGTTTAGATTACTAACACTTCTTGTTCTAATTTAATACAACACAAGTCATTTTAAATCAATTATATTAATATTATAATTATGTAAATATTGAACTTACCGAAAAGAAAGCGTGGTGAGTGGCCGATAAGATTTGTGACTACTAGGATCCGCCATTGGGGTACCCCAGAAGTCATTTAACAGGAGTTGCTTTAGAGAATTTGTGCCGATGACGTCACCATTGGTCACTATAGCTGGGATGTCATCATGCACGAAGTCACCATTCAAACTGTTCACATAACTAAACACGGCCGTAGCCGTCACTATTACGTAGATAGCTAAATCACTGTTGCACAAGCTAATCCCGCGGCTCTCCTCGCGGACGGTTGGCAGCGAACGCCTCTTCATCTTCGGGCTTCTTGATTTTATTGTTACATTCCTACATCTACACATTTGTTGTGATTTTTATGTTGTCCGTATTGTTGACGGTCGTACCTGTGGAAGAAGAAAAAGACAATTAAACTTAATAAGTAAAGTTTCTTTTTAATTTATTTATTATACAATGATGGAAAAAAGATTTTATGTGACTTTAAAAGTAGTCTTATGGTTGACGTGAACTGTTGAAAGAACTAAAATTTTCTTATGCAACGTTTCTCTATTTTAGGGCAGCAATGTTTTTTAAAGTCTAAATTCTTAAAGATATTAAAATATTTTATAATATTTGGCACGGATAATGTGTCATTTAAGCTAACACGAGAGCTTAGATGCCAGGCATGCTTGCAGTCTGCGCATACCCCGTCATTAATATTGTAAGCATGCTCCGAGATACTGCATTACCAAATATTTTGCATCACTGTCAAAACTTTATCCTATTACTCGCGCTTTGAGAGCACTTGAATTTTTCGTATATTTTATACTTGTTAGTATATTCTAGACTTGATAATTTAAAAGTTGTTTAGTGTTAGCGATATTATCTTACGAATTATTAAAATTTCCTGGATTTTTATGTTATAAATTACAGCCACTAATATCATTAACTCAAAAGTATTAAATTTATCTGAAATAGGTTTCAAAGTTACGTATCCCGTATATTACGTCTGTTATGCTAAATCTAATTTCAACTTAGAAAACTAATTCCACGCAAGAGAGAGCGGACTAAGTTTCTAACGAAACGTATATGCAATCGGATGATGTAATAAAGGTTTTTAAAGTATTACAACCATCAGTTCACAGAAAGGCATATATCTTTTGTTTTCTTTTCATTATAATACTTATTTTTATTTTTCATCATCATATCTCTATCCTTATCACACTTCAGATACATAGTCTAGATCCAATCTTCTTTCATCGGAAAATTAAAGTTTAATTTATCCTACGTTAAACTTATATAAAAACGGCTAGATACTCACGTATATTCATCCAGTGGCGGCACCTACTAGTTTCGAGCCCATCGGGGGCCTTTTATCAGGGTGAGTGGGACTGGCCGCGACCGCGAAATAATACCAGTCCCACGTACGTCGAATAGTATAAAGTTTGTAGAATATACGTGACTGTTTAGCCGTTTTAATAATGTTATTATAATGTTCTCACGTAAGTTTGAATTAGTTATCCTATGTTGTTTAAATCAAAACAAACTCAATTTATTTACAGCAAAGTCTCCCGTTTAATAACAGGTAAGAACACTCCAAGGTAAATCGCAGGGCTAGTCATGTTTACTAAGCCGTTCCGAACTTAATTATTAAGGCGGCTTAATTTATACGTAGATTTAGTTAATTTATAGGCTATAATGTAGTCAGCCTGTTTACTAACTTCGTCAAATTAATGAGCAACTCTCGCTCGACCCCGCTTTATGATTTTATTACAGCGTCAAATAGTTTCAATGATAATTTACTTGACTGTTGTATAGTTAGAAATACTTTTATTTATATTTAACATAAAATTATTCAACCTTTTTTATTGTATTATATTGATTAATTTTCTGTTTTTTTCGGGTTGTTTTGTAAAAAAAATAGTGAATATATTGGATAGATCAAAATAATTATAATTAATTTAACAAAGCCATTTTAAAGTCTAAGGTTTGTTGTTTATTATATTAGTTATTTAACTCCTATTTTTTGGCTTCTTATAAAAAATAGTATACCTATAGACTTAATACATTTATATTGATTTACAACAAATATGTAAATTAACGTAAAAGTATTTAACGCTATATATTACAGCTACGTGCATGCAAGAATATTATTCCAAATGAGAGCATATTAACTGTTCGTATTTTTTATTTAATAAAGGAATATATCCAGTGTAACCACGTTCCCCGCATATTGGGTGCCGCAAATTCGAGATATTTATATTTAATGCGCGGTGTGGCTTCTTGGCATTTTTTCTTCAGCATGCCATAACATATTTGAGGCACGTACCACGTTCCTGGCTCGGCCAAATGAAAATTCATAACGCCCGGTATTACCCACGATATTGAAAAGTAGAATATTTGTATGAAACTTATCTTTAAGTTGAGCTGAATTTACTTATTATACTTAGAATTTACTAGCTGACACTCGTGAATCCGTCCGTGAGGAATTAAAAAGAAACTTAATTAGTAGCCTATGTGTCTTTCAGAGTATGTTCTACATCTATGCCAAATTTCAGCGAAATCCATGCAGCCGTTCTGGAGATACCTATTAATAAATGTCCAACTATACATACAAACATTCGTATTTACAATATTAGTAAGATATACATTTATATAAACATATATGTGTTTGTGAACTTGGCTTCTAAGTATTTTTACTATACTTGTTCTAACTTCAAATTCTGATGAAAAGTTTAATTTAACTCTAGCTTTTTTTTCGCAGTGTACGAATAAATAAAAATGTTATTTTTATTTTTATTTGACGTTTAATGGCGCTCATATCCTATGTAAATCTAATTAATAACTGTTTACGTTGCTTCAATACACATGTTTGGAAAGCGGCCAGTTCCGCTCCATCTCTCTCGGGACTTAGCGTTACTGTACTACGTAAATTTACTATACTAAATACCTTAAAGCTGATTCACACTTGGCGTTTTAACGTTACGCACGAAAGACCTGCTTAATCCCTGATAACCACAAATGCGTTACCAACGTGAGCTTGGAAATAATGCGCGCGTCAACGTGAATACTATTCAATAGTACTTAAAATGCTCTACCAAAGTTTGCTAAACCACCTAATGTGTAATCGTTGTTATTTACTGTGAGTTTTTAAGACCAAAATCCCCCTTTAATACATTGTTTTCTCTGTTTTGTCAAAGATATTGACACGAATGACGATATATTTTATACACAGATGGTCTTAGAAATCAACGGTTAGAAGTATATTAGTATCACGACGCACAAGGTTTTATAAACCTGAATGTTTTCCTGTCGTTTTTTTCATATTTAATCCAGTAATTAAGAGCATGAGTAGGTTCTTATTATCATAATTATATTACCATTTTACTAATGTTACCACTAAGAAGTAAGCATAGTGTTGTATTAAGCACCACTATAATTATTTCTTCTCATCTATAAAAGTTTGTGGCTCAGAGATTCGGCTATTTGGTAGTCACCCCTATTAGGCAGATAAGTGATGTCACGGATAAAATCCACATATATTTAAATTTCATGACAGGCGGAGCACGATGTCGGCAGACCTTTCGAGGGTTTGAATGTGTAATAAAAAGTTTTAGTACTCGGCATTGAATTTTATGATACTTGCGTTCGTATTACACGTTAAAGGCGATTTTATATCGATAAAATGTCGATTTCAACTTGTACGACCGCTCAATTAGATGTAAGTAATTATATTTTATATATTTTACATTTCATTATAGACTTATCATTATAATTAAAATTACAAACGAAATATTGCGAGAAAGTTTATTAATCAAAAATATCAATAAAAAAATTATAATGTGTGATATAAATTTAAAAACACTACGAATAATCTAAAAGATAACTAAGAAAAAAAATACTTAAACCACAGTTTGGTCTAGATCTAGGTATTGATTTCCCGTAAACAGAGTAAAGAGCAGGAGAGGAACAACAGAAAGAAGTTTTTCTGGGAGGTAGAAAGGAGTTGCTTGGATGCTTAACTTATACGTCTTCAACCGTCTTCAACTGGCAGTAGCACCTTAAAACCAAAGATTTAAACTCCAAGAATGCATAATAAGGATTTCTGTATCTAACTATGCCCCCGACTGTTACTTTAGGCAATAAAAAGTTTAGTATTTGAAATAAACCAACTAATATACAAACAGCACGTCATCACAACATTCGCAAGTAATTTGCAACAAAGTGACGAAGGGAAACGGACGATGTGATTACTGGAGGCGGAACCACTTGACTCTACCTCAGGGGCCGTTACCGTTGGAAAGCTACGGTTAAGTGCTCCTTCAAAGTTTTTTTGTGTTGTAAATGCAATGCTTTTTCCTGTTGACTCGTTGCGTATTATTTTAATTCCATGCAACATATTTAGACAACATAAGGAAGGAAAAGAAAAATTAAATTATTCTCAATTGATATTACAGGTCGGAAATCATAAGGATAAAATATGAGAAACATATCTATTGCGTAGTATATTTGGGAAAAAGTACATATTGATTTACATTTTTTTCCTGATTACAGGGTATATTGTTGTATGTATGTAATAGAGCGGAACGTCGTATCCGGTTTAATGTGGTGCCTTATGGAGTGTAATTGAATCTCTGCGACTCTCAGCCGTTCATTGTTACATAGATCATGTTCATAGTATAGCTAGAATTTATAAGCGAACAGTTTTAAAACTATCTCTTTGTTGACCATAATGGAAAGGAAATCTTTTACTGGTTCTTAATGGCACAGCAATAAAATTGTGAAAGGTAATTATAATGTGTTGTATAAGACAAGTATGGATACAATCTTACTAATAACTTATGGATGGATGTTTGTTAGAAGGTTTCTCCAGAACGGCTTCATGGATGCTAAAATTTGGAATAGATGTAGAACAATCAGGAAAAACTTAGAGTACCAATTTTTTTTTAATTCTTCATGGACAGTATCGTGGGCGACAGCTAGTGAAATTATATTTGGAAATAATTCTTCCTTAAGCGCGCGAGTAAGTTACAAAACCGTATGCGTAGGTGTTCAGAATGGAGAGAGCTTGAGTGGTGCTTAATGTATTCCGTCATAAACGGTACAGATTTAAGAAATTACTTTCCCAATATTTTTTTGTAAAAATATGAACGAAAGCTTTACCAATTTGAAATTGGAAACGTGCGTAAGTTTGCATTAAGATAAGATACTATATGTAATAAAATGAGGTTCGTATTTTAGGAAACCAGAACAACTTTCATTTTCATTCAGGAAATCATTTGACAGCGAACTCTTTGCACTAAGAAAACAGTCGCTTTACACAGTATTAAACTACATATTCCGTGCATCACAACTCCAAAACGTTTTGAACGTCCAAATCACAAACTGTGTTTTTAATTTAAGAGTA